CTGCTTTTAAATCTTTATTTTTTTCCACATTTAAATCATTGAGTTGGGGTCTATATAAAACAGAACTACAATGCTTTGGTCTAAATTCCTCCTTATTTTCACCCTTTCTGAAATGTGTCTCAAATCAACTCGTTTTGACGCCGTCTTTCCAAACAAGGCGCTTCACACCCTGACCCCCTCCAGCAACAATTAGAAATTAATTAAAATATGTCAACAATGAAAGACTTGTCCATCCAGCCTTACACATTGAAGCCAGAGTCTGACGCAGAGTTAGAGGAGAATGAAGACCATCAAATTTTAGTCAGTCACCTCATTTGGCAGTTCTGTCGCAAATTCTGTGCTGTAGTAGGAAACTTGATAGAAAATAGAGAAAACTGAACAGGTTGGAAAAATATGAACCAACACAGAATATAAAGATATCTGCGCAGCACTGAGAGAGGCTAAATTCAAATTTTCTGCATTCCCAGTGACTTCGCAACCAAATGCCTTTAAATGCTAAAAAAGTGGATTTTGCATGATATGTTCCATATCAAACATTGACAAAAAAAAAAAAAAAACACTTGCAATGACAAAAAGTAATAAAAGTAATCCAATGTATACTGTGACAATTGTCAACCTGCTGACATTTAGGGCACAATCATGTTAGAAATGACGAAACAAAGCCCGTCTCGCTGAGGGATTGCGCATCTGATATCTGCATCCCAGCTGATAATAAGATGAAACAAAAGGATTAAGAGGAAATTACCTCTAATTTGTGTGAGAGCGTGTTCAGTAAGAGCACACAGCAAGATTAAATAGTCAGATATGGGTGAAAACAGAGACACAACACGTTTCATTAAAGTACAAACATTAGAGGTTTCCTACATAAAAAGCCCCCCTCTGTAAATCACTACCAGCTGCTTGTTGTGATTAGCTGAGGATGTTCCAGCGTTTTAAAAAGGCCAGATCATTTGGGATGGTTTCCATTAGAGGAGCATCTGCTTGTTGTACTGTCCGCAGATTGGCTGCGTGTCAGCCAGCAAGGTGAGGGCAAGGAGGGATCAGTTATCTTTGATCTCTCTGTCTGGGAGCCATCGAGGTCACGTAATGATTTTAACCTCATCCAGGAAAGAGCGRGGCTGTTTGCCAGGATTTTAGAACCCGCTAACATAGAAAACTGAGCAATTAATACCCCTGAGACTGCAGGAAAGTCATGTTAATCCCTCATTTTTGTGAAGATTTCTTAGTTTGTCAGAACTCCTGCTGGTGTAACCACCACCTCCCACACAGCATCCCCACTGCTTCGCCCATGGAGGCTTAGTTATCAGGATGCGGCAAGCAGCTCCTGCAGGATCCCTGTCACAGGCAGGCAGTCCCCCTGTATCCTAACCCTCGTTCCAATTTTCTCGGATGCAGGCTGCCACGTAGACAAAGTCACAAGTGGCAGGAGAAAACGAAGAGTTTAAATCTTTATTTCTTGATTAATTTGTCCTCTTGGCAGGTACAAGAGAGAATAATAAAACCATCAATGGGGGAAAAGTCACGTTTCAGACACTCAAAACAGGAAACTCCTGCTCAGATGTAAGATTATCTAGAGCTTTAGGCTTGTATATTAATGCGTGGTTGCCAGCTGAGGGTTTTCCTCTGAAATAATGAAAAATGAATGCACGCTCATGTTTGATGAACAACTTTCCCACTGTAAGATATCATGAAAAATTGATAGGGCCAAAAAAAGGGGGGTAAAATTCTCATCTTCGAACGACCCTTGATGCCAGGTAGAAGTGGACTGAAGTGCGTCTGACTGAGTGACAAACATGATTTTTTGTTCCTAATATTCACAGTCATGCATCACGGAGCAGCAGTTGGCAGCACCAGATGCGCCGCCGAAAACAAGAGAAGTCACCCAAAAAGTTCGGCTGCTGGCTGATTGACAATCTTGATTAAACTTGAATCGGCTGAGCAGGATATTTCTCATCAATCCTTTTGTCATCCAGCTGCTGAAAGCATAATTTCATCCGAGAAGATGACGTTAAAAAAAAGGCACCATTATTTTGTCTTGGAGCTTTTAAATTGCACCAAAAGCAAAATAATGGTTAACGGAGATAAGCTTCCACACTCCTGCCCCTAAACTCTTTTCCGTAATGCAGATTTAATTTTGAGGAAATGTTGTACAAGGCAAAACTCAAGATTACATGTTGATTAGAGGAAACAGAAATCGTAAAGTGCTTCAAAAGATGCCTAATCGGATTTTCTGAGAGCTCCTCACAATTAAAACAGGCAATCGCACTCTATTTGGTGCTGAAAAATTCATTTCTCCTTGCCTATTCAACCACATAAAAACTCCAAAAAAGAAAAAAAAAAAACCTCACAAGACAAGCATTTTCTAAAATCATAGTTACATTTTATTTATGCTTTCATAACTAAATAGACAATCCCATAACCTGATGAAAGGAAACAGGATTGTCAGGCAATATTATGTAATTTTATAAGAAATAAAACAAAAACACAATATTAATAGTATGACAATATATCAAGAAGAATAGTACATTTCTTTTATATCACCTATACATACTCGCAGTATTGTGCTTCGATAAGACTTTTGCAACTAGAACACAGATACAGAATTTTTTTAACAGCCCCACAAAACTCCGAGGAGTTCATCAATCCACTCTCCAGAAACAAACAAACAAACAAAAACAAACAAACAAACAAACAAACAAAGAAAAAAGCATCATGACCTCACATCAACTCAAGAGTAATTAAAGTAAGGATTCGACTCATAGGGCACGTGTGAAAATGAAAAATGGTGCAAAATGAAACTAAGCGAAGCTCATCTACCTGCAACAAACACTCACCTGGTTGGGCACTAATGGTCGCACTCAAACAGTACACACTCACAAACACACACACGCCCCCTTGCCCGCACGCACACATGATCATATGAGATGCACCATCTTCCTTTATCTGCTCATCGCCGAGGCAAACTTGGTAATTATAATGTAAATGTTTGTAGTATATGTATATTTTCATAGAAAGACATAGAAATCAATCAGAAGTAGAAATGAAATGGGAAAAAAACATGCACCGGACAAATACAAGCATGCATTTACATGATGAGGAAACCTGAAATTTTCACCAGCACACTGCTAAATGGTTGATGTTGCGCCGCTACCAGCACCACTTAACGCCACAACTTTCTCTGAAAGCCCCCCCCCCCTCGTTAAAACTCCATTACACTCACCGTGATCAAAAAATACATTCTCAAAACTAACCACAGTTGTCGTTTTATGAGACGCCGCAGCGGGTACACACGTTGCTACATGTAAAGTAGAGTAAGCGTCATGAATATTGTCACATATGCAGGCGTTGTGTGAATTCGTCTCATGTTGTTGTGTTATATAAAGGCATGGGGGTCTCTTTTCTTTCTGCTCTGCTCTCTACGGTGGGATAAATGTACATCTTCATGTTTTCTTTTTATTTATTTTTTTTGTCTTTTTGCAGGAGAGTTCCATGTTGGCAAGTTTTGTCCTTTGCAGCAGAATTCCACAGAGTTTTGAGTGCTGCATGAAATGCTCTCCTAAAATCAAAACATTTATTTTCAATATTCAGGGCTTTCTCTTCACTTGGCGTTGGGGTGAAAATCCTTTGTTTTATTTAATTTGCTTGTTCTTTCTTCTTTCTTTTTTTTTAAAGTCTTTACGTAAAAAGTGCTTTTCTTAGATGTAGCATCAGTCTCTCACTGTCCGTGCGTTTAGATAGTTCTTGCTGTGTTAGTGGTTGGCTTTGGTTGCATAACACGCACTTTGCTGCTTTGCAAGGAGCTGCTCAACAAGTGAAGTCTTCAAAGTTGCCCTGACCTGGATGATGAGGTAGCATGTTCGCAGGATATGTTGATGGTGTACGAAGGTTCTCGCAAGGAGCCTGAAGAAGAAAGAAAAAGGGAGAAAAATAAATTGAAGTCTGGGTAGTTTAAAGGCACAGTGTGTAGGATTTGTTGTTTTCAGCGACATCTAGTGGTTGAGTGGTTGAATCATCCTCCCTGGTCCTCCCCCCACCCCCACCCCCTGCTTCCAAAGCTAAGGAGTTTCTACGGAGTCTCTCAGGTGTCAAAAACCTTTGATAATTCCAACCGCGATGTCTACCAGCAGCTTCAGGGCTAGTGATGTTTCAAGTGGTAAGATTATGAGCTTTAATAAGTAAAATTATCCCAGCTACAATGACAGACAACAAATATTACATTTATAGTATTACAGCTAAAACCGTTTTTGACGCCACCACCGCAGTTTGTCCTTCATGAGCCTTCGTAGACAAGATGGCGGCTGCCTGTACTGGCGACCCCCGACCATGGAGATATAAACAGCTTTTTATAAGGTAAAAATAATAAAGCAAGGTCTTTGTCTGCAATGATTAGACATGTTTTTTATTATTGTCGTTAGTGATTATCTCAATTTCGGCTAAAAGAATTGACAAAATCCTACACACTGTGACTTTGAAGGAAAAAGAAACACAATGACAGTGAGACGTGACTGGCATTGGAACAGAGGTAAAATAAACTTGCAAACAGGGAAAAAATATTATTAAAACGTTTATGCATGCACTAAAAAAAAAAAAACCAAAAAAAAAAAAAAAAAAAAAAAAAAACATGACGTGAGCAACAGGTTTGTCCGGGATGAAAAACGTAATAGATTTCAGGGTAACACTCTGAAAAATAATGAGAATAGATCGAAAAAGAAGACTGCTAAGTGAGTCAGGAGGAGCAAACCCTTCCCATCTGCCTTGCCTGCGCTCTGACTTACAATTAAAGTGAACTGATTCCATTTACCCCCAGATTTAAGTAAGCTGTCACACCTTCCAAAGCTTTAATTCTGGCCTGTCCCTGCTGGTCCTGGACTGCCGCTTTGATTAAATTCAAGCCACTCTCCACWTCTTTTCCCTCCACCTCATCCCAATCATTTTCTTCCTTCTGTTACTGTCGAGTCTCTAAATTATTATTATTTTCCCCCATCTCAGTCCCACTGTGTTTTTTTTTTTTTTTTTTGCTCCTCTCACCAACACCACCCCGGTGCCAAGTGAGTCCAGGAAAGACAAAGAAGAAAAGAGTTTGCTCTTGTCAAAGCAGTGCAGCCTGACACATTCGAGGTACTTAGCAGCAGCCCACTGACATGGTGTTTCACATCATCCAGGCTCAGCACAGCTCCCCGGTCGTTGTTACTGCGGCGTTTGTGTTTCTTCTTCATGCATCTGCACAGCTTGTACTTGATCACCTGAAAATGGACAAGGACCGTTTTACTCCTGCTGCTTCCCAGTTTCTGCTAAGACACTCTCTTAMTTCTTGGGGAGGCTTCGAAACTCAGGCCCACATGCATGAACCAGGCAAGCGGGAATGTAAAAGAGATTGACTATTTATGCATAAATCTGTCTCGCTGTCGACGCTATGCTTAGAAATAAGCTGAGTTTCACTCTGTTTAGCTCATACACTCATATCTCTCTTCAAAAAACCCCAGTCAGCATTAATCTCAAAAGATAAAGCACAGAAGAAGCATGATGATGCATTCATTGTGTTAACGTAACCGGGGTAAGATGTGTGCACTGTACAGTTAGACTGAAGGATTCTGAGAGAGAGTACTTTTCATGTTTGCCATAGTGGATTAGTCTGGTGGTATATCAAAAATTATAGAAGAAATGCATTTCGCCTGCTGCTTTTCATGTCAATGCTTTAAACTAAACATCACGTTTGGAAGGGAAAGAGTTCTAACTGTTTTAGTCAAAGCTCGTAGCTGTCTGTTTTTATTATTTCTTTTTGCATTCAGGAGTTAAAGACATTTTACCTCGTACAGATAATCAAAAAGCTCAAGAACAGTGAGGATGCTTGCCCCAATGAAGAGACCCATCTGACCTCCAATATCACCTGTAAAACAAGAGCATGAATAAAAAGATGGAACCGTGTTTGCCTTTCTCATTTTTGCTTGGGATAAATACATGTGAAAGGTGAGAAACCTGACATAAAACAGACGTTTGTGATTCTGCAGCTGAAAAGCAACAATAGAATAAAGAGGCATCTTTGTGTCCCAAGGGACTTGAACACCTATTATGAAAATGCAAGTGCTTGTGCTCCTGTCACTTTAGATAAAAGCATCTGTCATGCTGCATACTGCATAATATCTATTCCCCAAAAACAAAGGAAAAAAGTAGTCACAGCCGTTTCCTTACCCAGAAGCCCTGCCAACTCGTAGGCTTTCTTTTGTTCTATGGTTTCATAGTTCAGMGCTTCGAAGAAGATATCCAAAACCAGAATGTTATCACTGTAAACAGACAGAGAAGAACATGTCTTAAAGCACACGTTGAATTGTCTCAGTTAGCATGTTACGCAGGGTTCTTGTCAGAGCGTCCTCGGGCAGAGAACAGTGACGGGTGACACCTCCACTTTCTGCGGATCCCAGAACAGACGCGTCGAAGTGAGCAAATAACCTGCCACTGCTAACTAACGTTCCCCCGGCGAGCTGCCATCAGACGGGAACACAAAGGAAATGATGACACTTGTTTGATTTCAGCAGAAAGAGAATCAAATGGGATTAGTTTAAGGACCTGAGGCACAACATCCGAATGTTTTCATTTTGAATATCCTCTCTTTGAGAGAAGTCTGACCTTACGATTTGAGATTGAAAAAAAAAAAACAGGACATGAAATTGCATTTTTTAAAACTTTTTCTTTCTCTGTTTGAAAACTTTGAATTGAGTAAAGACACGATGCTATACCAGACGAAATCAAGAGGTAACTTTAAATGAGAAAATGCAAAATATGTGATAATGCCGCTGCAGACATGAAGATATAACAATGAAAAATGAGCCTCTTTGCAGTTTTAATCATGCTGTTGGACATTAGGAAGCAGAYATAATCATATATTGCTGGAAATCAAGTTGATCACTTTATTTTTTTTACAACTTTTTATGGGCAAAAATCTGGAACTAGGATGAAAAATTTTCTAACCGAGTGGGGAAGTTATGTCATCAGACTTAGGACAACGTATTGACAAAATCAAATACATAAATTATGTTTTGCTCTTGCACATTTCTTCCTTTGTTTTTAAAGAAAATATGATACCGGACAGCATAGTCATAAGTCTGAAAGGATGAGATGGTACACAACATAAAAGGTCAAGAAAGGCATATTTAAAGACAAGGTCATTTAGGGCTTTGATGGTGAGCAGTAAGATTAAAAAAAATCAATGAGAATCTTAACAAGGAGCCAGAGCAGAATATATGATGTTTTTGTGCCTTTTAGTTTCTGTAACGAATCTGGCTGCTGCAGTGGAAACCACTGGAGATGATGGAAGGAGTCTGGACTAATACCTGGGTAAAGACCATTAAAGCAGTCAGGGTAAAGGGCAAAAGAAAAGCTCTTGTGTCCTAACATCTTTTAGGACCGCTAATTTCATATGTGATATTTTCAATTAGTCCCATTTCAGCTTCACTTGCATGCTGCGGTTCAAATAAAACCCTTGTTTTTCCTCCTATCTGAGTCTGTAACCACTTATTTGCCCCCTGAGCTGTGTTTTCACATTTCCAATTCAAACTATTTAATTGTGTTAAAGAAAATCTGCTTTGTATTATGCTACTGTAAAAAAAAGAGAGAGAACATAAATCATTGTGAGGTAAAACTGGACATGTTTTCTTTTCTATTGATCTTACTTCAGCGTATAAAATGTATTTAATCAAATTCAACACTTTGGTCTTCAAAGTGTGATTAATGTGATTTTTCTTTCTAACTACTTCAAAATCTGCACATCAGAGGGTGAAACTTTATTGGCACAGAGAAACACTTGGCCTCAGTCAAATCTTGGGCATTTAAAAAARGGCAGTTTCTTTGAAGAACGATTTTTATCAAGTGCTTGTCCCTGCATGTTCTTTTAGCTCGATGGGCCTCGGTGTGATATGAGCACCCCTGAATGGGCTTTACTGATCTCTGTGGGTTGTCTTGCAATTGCAGGTATTGCTTCTGTGTATTCCTATCGCTTATATCAGATGTGTAGGTCACTTGTTATGCGCCCCCCTGATTCCTCGCTGTCAGCGGGCAACATGTCTGATCAGAGCGGCTGTCAAATAAAAGCCACTGTTTGCCTAACAAAGCCTCCTTCTCTGCATGTTTCCCTGTAGAAAGTCGGGCAGTGCAGAGTCACACACTTCAGCTTCACAACAGCAAACACTGAACAGCCAAGAAAAGCAAAACACTTCACCTAACATTCATTTCTTGGAAGTAAAGACACTTGAAAAATGAACTACGTGCAGTCACATCTATCCACGGGGAATTAATAAACTTTCTGAAGGGAGAAGTGTGCAAGTTGCTTTTTTTTTTCAGTACTCTGGCTACATATGGTGCAATTATCTCATCCTCAACAACTCTGCCGGGAGTGATGAATAAAAGATTCAACTATTACTGCACCCTCTTCTCATTTCCTTGAACCACTTTWTGATCTTTTCAGCATATTTGGTTAAGAAGCACTTTATACTTGACTGATTATTCAAGTAAAGACCCTCTTATTCCATTTCCTCCTTTTACTGAAAATGTCATGGTTTTAGAAAGTCAACTTCCATAAATGGATAATTAAAGCAAAAACAAACAAATTTTGTGTTACAGAAAAAAAAGAACACGTAACTCTTTTGGTGGCAACAATGATAGAAACTGATTTATGAGTGTTACTTTATTTGTCCAATCCAATCGAATCCAATTTTATTTATAAAGCCCGTTACAGCTCCTCTGTGGAACAAAGTGCTGTACAGTGCAATACAATAAAACACATGTACAACTAATTCAATAACACTAAAAATTAAGGGTACAAGAATAAAAACAGGGATAAAACCATTAAAAACAACTTCTGTCAGATAACGAAAGCCAAACAATAAAATTTGTTTTAATTGAACAATCAACAGCTAAGGAAGATGCCTATTTTCTTTTAATTAAAATAGGCTCTTTAATAATTTGAGCTATTTTGGGAACACGGAAACTCTTTCTTTGAGTACRGGGTACCAGACCCATTGATCTGGGTGGGCTGTTAGGTCCCTGTATGTATAACCGGTGCCAGAGCTTGGTCCACATTGCCGGTAAGAAGTCGGACTCGTTTCCGGTGAGAGTTGGACTCTGCCAAGGTTGCCCTTTGTCACCGATTCTGTTCATAACTTTTATGGACAGAATTTCTAGGCACAGCTGAGGTGTTGAGGGGATCCGTTTTGGTGACCTTAGGATCACATCTCTGCTTTTTGCGGATGATGTGGTCCTATTGGCTTCATCAGATCGTGATCTGCAGCTCTCGCTGGAGCAGTTCTCAGCCRAGTGTGAAGCAGCCGGGATGAGGATCAGTGCCTCCAAATCTGAGACCATGGTCTTGAGCCAGAAACTGGTAGGCTGCCTTCTCCGGGTCAGGGAGGAGGTCCTGCCCTAAGTGGAGGAGTTCAAGTATCTCGGGGTCTTGTTCACGAATGAAGGAAGTATGGAGTGGGAGATCGACAGGCGGATTGGTGCTGCATCTGCAGTGATGCGGGCGTTGTACCGGCCTGTTGTGGTGAAGCGGGAGCTGAGCCAGAAGGCGAAGCTCTCGGTTTACCAGTCGGTCTACGTTCCTTTCCTCATCTATGGTCAAGAGTTTTGGGTAGTGACCGAAAGAACGAGATCACGGATACAAGCGGCCAAAATGAGTTCCCTCCATGTCTGGGCTCTCCCTTAGAGATAGGGTGAGAAGCTTGGTCACCTGGGAGGGACTCAGAGTAGAGCCGCTGCTCCTCCACGTCGAGAGGAGCCAGTTGAGGTGGCTCAGGCATCTGGTTAGGCTGCCTCCTGGAGGCCTCCCTGGTGAGGTGTTCCGGGCACGTCCCACTGGGAGGAGACCCAGAGGAAGACCCAGGACACGCTGGAGGGACTATGTTTCTCGGCTGGCTTGGGAACGCCTTGGGATTCCCCCAGAGGAGCTGGCCCAAGTGGCTGGGGAGAGGGAAGTCTGGGTCTCTCTGCCTAGGCTGCTGCCCCCGTGACCCGACCCCGGATAAGCTGAAGAAAACAGACGGATGGACGGAAACTCTTTCTTTACAGATGTGTAAGTATATCTCTATAGTGTTGTTGCTCAGTGCTGTTTTTATATTTTTTATTTTGGGCTCAACACAGTTATTGGTTTTCAATATGAGAGACCTTGAGTTGTTTAGAAGCAACCATAGGTTCCTTTTTGATCTGTCAGTATATTGCACATCCTTTTAATGATGATCTTTGGGAGTCAACCATTGATCCTATAAATCATTTATACGTACACAGCCCGTCTGATGGTGGACTGATGGAGTCAAATCTCATTAAAGACGATCTTATTTCCTTTTATCCAGCCTGAGGAGCATCAAAAACACATTTTCTTATCTCCCTGCATTGATAACATTCACATCATTGTGTTGTGTTGGTCTTTGAATCTGCTTTCACCGGTAGATTTACACCTGATTATTTCAGTCACACATTTGTTTACAACACTGAATAATTTAACAAAAATAAATGTAAGCGGTTATATACTTTTATGTCTTATTCCTTTAAGTATCCCTGGAGTGAATTTATGATTCTCTTTAACTTGTAAAAAATATATATAAAAAATAAGCAGTCTAGTATAACAAAGAGGTCTTTTCTTTTTTCACTTCTAATAAATAATTCACGATTGGGAAAAAAATTTTTTTTGGTTTATGTCCAGAAAAGAATTGAATTAAAAACATGCTATCCCAAACATATCTAAAATTATAGTAAAAAAATAAAAATAAAAATAACTGATCACAGACACAACAAAACGTCATATTTTCATTAAGGCATGCTAAATGGTTATATTAAATGTCCCTCAATAGTTAAAGGAATGATCTGCATATTTCTGAAGTGATGCTCTGTCAAAATGTTATTATTAGTTAGTATCAGAATCAGTTTTCAGAATCAGAATCAGTTTTTTTTGCCATTGTCAATGCACAGGATTCACAGACTAAGAATTTGCTTTGGTGTTCATGTGCAATAAATATAAAATATAACAGATAAAAAAAATACAATGGATAAAGGAAAAAATGTAATAAAATTTACAAAACATATGTACTCCAGTTCAATGCAGTAATCAGAGCAGACAACATAGTTGGAGTAGTGCAATTAGATCCAGTGATAAAAATAACCAGATAAAACAATATAGTCAGGGTTGACTTTATCAGTGGTGACTTTAACCATGAGCCCCAAGAGGCATAATTAGTTGTCCAGGTTATGCTAATAACTAGACAGATGAGTCCAGTAGACTGATACTGTAGACATCAATGGGTAAATAAGACACATAAAAATGACTTACGCAATGTACTGCTCTGTCTTGTTGAATTTTTTGGCAAGATACTTGGCCGATGCCTTGCTGGGGATCTTGACAAAGGACAGCTCTTTACCGTAGCGAGTCAAGTTGCACGGAGTGTCACACACGCAGTAATTGTTGTCTTTTTCAACAAGAAAGTCTGGAAAGCATGACAAACAGAAAGACAAGAGGAAGGTGAGGAGACGGTGATTCAGAAAGAGAAGACACGGGGACAGATTACAATTTATCGACATCGGAAAGATGACAAACAAAATGCCAGCTGAGYGAGAGGCATCAAAGAGAAGATGCCACGGAGCGACCCCAGAGACTTTTAGAAGAAATAAAAAAAGGAGATATAAAACACATGCTGACAGAGTCAAAGGGACAGCAGCAGCCAGAGGCGAACACATGAGACAGTGTCATGAAAGAGTGACAGATTGCAAGTCGGGTAAGAAAACAAGCAGCAGACATGAAAGGCCCTGAAAGGTTTTCACAGATGGAGAGGGAGGTGGTGCGTGTGAAAAGAAGAGCCACAGTACTGCCATCATGCTGAAGGAACACTATTATCTGTTATCAGCTTGGATCAGGAGCTCTGAACAGTGGGGCATATACACCAAGGGAGTAAACACACACAAGCAGTGTGCTGGTTTATCTCCTTACCTAAGGCGGGATCTGCACAATCCTTGTACTGCTCCGGGGTGCAGTATGGGGCATCTCCTAGGGACAGGCAGAAGAAAGCCAATGAGCTCAGTGTGGGAAAAAAATGGATCAAGACATGGAGAGGAGTCCAAAGAAAAGAACAGAAGACACCAAAATATGGGCTTAAAATCATTTTTGTGTCAGACTGTCATTACTGTCCTTATTACAACTGGCTACTCATCGTCATTTTGATCTCATCTCATAAATGACTTCATTCATCACGACTTTAAGAACCTTGTATCCATACGTCTCCCTCTGGCAGTTGAGCCATCTTTTCTAATCTATCAAGACGATATTGGATAAAGACCTGCCATGGACGGAGAGGAAATTACTTCCTTGCTGCAAAAGTTCACAAGATTTTCTTTTGAAAAAAAAAATCACTTTAATGACAGGAAGATTGAGAGATGAACAAAACATGACACAGAGAATTTTAACTGTGTGGTTTGCAATAATCGTCTGCACACCAGGGCAGCATATAATCCTGATTATCACACAGACAGATTGTCAGGCTGCCGGAGGACTGAGACGTTTAAGGCAGCAGGTAAAACGTGAGTTAACTAGGACCAGATCCAAATGTTTCCTCTGTGCCAAACCCCTTTTCAATTTGCAACCTGAGATCCCACACGGTGATTAAATGGAAGAGGCACACAGCGAAAGCCAGCTTTAATCACAGCCCAAACACAAAGTGAAAGCGGCTGAGTTTTCCGATCCACTGGAGTGTGAAAGTATCTGATTTTCGGAGGTTGTTGCCAAAAAGCTGTTTGTTCCCCAAGCTGGACCGCGACCGCTGCCTCACGTGGAAGGATTTCCAATGACACCAACAAAGCCAAATCAGCTACTTCAATGGTACATGAACGCAGAGACAGTGTGTCTGCAGCGGGATACCAGGCATGTGGACCATCCTGCAGTTGCAGTTCTCCACCAGGTATCGGGTCTCGCAGTCGATCCTGCAGGCCGTGAGGCTGTAGGAGGTGAAGAAGTCCGAGTCCATCGATGTGGTCTTGCAGTCTCCCCATGGTGGAGGCAGGTACGTGAGCTGCAAGAGACACAAACCCTGTTTAGTCACCAGTGGTGGGCAGCGCTAACCCAAAAATTAGCTCCACAATTTCTAAAGCGCTTATGAAAATATTTAGGTCCACAACTTCAAAAATGCTTATGCCATAGAAAAAATAGCAGAAGCTAATTTTAAACTGCAAGTTCAATTTGACATTTATTACCTGGCAACAAGACATGTATAATACATGTACAACACTGCCAACTAGCGGTGTATAAACCCTTGTACAGCTTAATCCTACAAGCACCGAATGCTGGGGATGTGATTTCCTGAAACAGAAATTTAGCTCCTGGTGTAAAAATTAAAAGGTTGTTGAGGATTGCTACTTCGGCTGCTTCTTTAAAAAGTTGTTGAGGATTGCTAGTTCGGCTGCTTCTTTAAAAAGTTGTTGAGGATTGCTAGTTCGGCTGCTTCTTTAAAAAGTTGTTGAGGATTGCTAGTTCGGCTGCTTCTTTGTCTTTTTCTTTTGTTTGTTGTAGATTTTTCATAAATAAAGTAATTTTAAAACTGTTTATTGGAAAAATGAAGCGATACATTCTGGATATACATGACGGATTTGATTTGTGACGGGAAACGAAAGTTTTTCATGTAGTTGCTCCAGTTGTCCACTAGATGTCTGTCTAACCCCGCTGGCGGATTGCTTCGACCAATTACGTAAAGAATTGAGCTCCAGCATATAAACTTTATTTTTTTTAAAAAGTAGCTCCAATTGTAAAGTAAAATAAATCAATACATACAAAATTTTAGTATGGATTACAAACGTTTAGTGTTTTTGCTGGGACAGGGAGTTCTAAACATTGACTTMCTGCTACGTAAGCAGACACAAAGCATTGTGGGAAATGAACCGTGACCAAAAGCAACTGTCAGCAAAGATGTATACGTTTCCAGCAAGCGTGTTAATCTGGGAGGGGTGTTGTTGGATAGATCACGTGTGTTGAGATTCATTGACAGCCATACATTCTGCTGTTCAAGATAATGATGATTGGTAGATAATTAGTTATTAGCGGTACTGCATTTTAATTTTAGAAAGCACAAATCTGCTTATGAATTATAAAAGTTAGTGAGACCGCTAAAGCGCAAACTAAACATTTAGGTCCACAATTAGTGGATTTGCTCTTAAGCGAACTGGTGTCCACCACTGTCAGTCACCAAATATACTGCYTTGTGTGCTGATAATGCTGTAATTCGACCCCATACTTTCTCTCAGGAAGATGACAAATTTGTTACCCTGTCAACATGAGAGGCCATTACGCCTCAGACCCCGCACATTACACAAGCCATTTACTGTATTAGGCACAGAGGCTGAATCACATCCTGACTTCATGGTGAATGCATCTGTACAGTGGTGGCTATTGTTGGAGCTTTTCTCCTACGCTCCACTATTTCTAGTCTTCCTCTGTGCTTTCACCAAACTGCCCACTCTTCGTGCAGATGCTCAATAGTACCAGCTGTGTAGTGGAAGTGCACTGTCAAAGGAGTTCCTGTCTTTGCAGGAGAACAAAACCCTGCGGGGCCCCTTGTTTTAACCAACAAGTTTACATTTCCATCGTTCTCRTGGAACATCTTTAAATTAAAAGGCACTTCAAAATTTAAACAGACGGAATGAACCAGATGGTCAAACAGAGTATGATTTTACTTCTGATAGGTTATCATTTTCACTTTATTTTCAACCAAACATAATCATGTGTGAATGTTTACCACTGCCTTGTATATTTGCACATTAGATCTTATTCTTAAAATGTATTTGTTTAGCTTTACAAGGGGATAAAATAGTTGTCTTTTTCTTTGCTGAAATACTGTGCAGATCAACAAAAAAAATCTAATAAATCTAAATGCCAGATAAGACATGTTGCAAAGCTCATTGTATGAAAACAATGAATCCTCTTCAGCTATATCACTGAAATATAAAAGGACTATCTAAGATCTCTGCCAAATCAGAAACACAGTGCTGCCTAATTGTGATTTCCAGCACACAATCTGTGAACACTGAAACAAAATGAGGTATTCTATCATTTCCAATAAACTAAAATCTCCTAACATAAATAAAAAATGTCCTGTGAAGACAGTTGGTATCATGAGATATATATATAT